AGAAAGCTAATTGTTTGCCACAGTGCAAAAGTTCAAGTCAGAGGGCTTGATAAATACTATCAGAGGTTCTTCCCATTCGAACCACTAAACCAGGAGTTTGGGGACCACTTAAAGTACATAAGGGCGGAGTACCATGTATACCTGTTTGCGAAATGTGTAGCACGCCTTGCAATGTTATGGTCAAGTGGCTGGCAAATCTATGTAACAGCCTGTGACGATGGCAATGGCTAAGTATAAAGGATGAATTAGCTTCACTCACACCCTGCAAAGTTTATTTAAAAAGGGGTATATGCTATCATTGAATATCACATGGCAATTCACAAACGTATCCATTGGCAAAATCAGTAAAGAAATAAAGTACCGGGCCACATCTTATAAGAAAACGGAATGTTTTCGTTCCATAATTTGGCTAGGAGTAAAACTGAGTTCGCCGCTACCTCGATTAGGTTCAACAGGTCAGGTACTCACGCGCATATCATTCATACAATCGGCGGAGTATCATCCCAGCGAGGAGCTTAGATTAAAAAATTTATCTGTTTTTTAAAGGGGATCTAACATCTTTCTTGTGAATCGTTACGATGACGCAAATTTTATCATGGTCAATTCATCTGACTGTATTTAGCTTAGGAAACTCATTGGGTACATGAGGCTAAGAGCCGATCCCGAAAAGCGAACCGATAATCAACGCACCAGCAGACAACGAACTTAACCGAAATTCAAAGGCTTGCGTGACAGGTCCCTAAACGGGTGCTTCGTTCACGCTCCCGCGTTGGATATACGCCCCACTGCCTTATGGGTCAGACTTTTGAGTCGAAGGCTACAGTTAGGGTTCCCAAAGAAAACTCCGTCGGTGTGGGCCGCCTCGAAGTATGTCGTGCTCTAACGTCTTGGGCACTCATTTGGACAACCATCTTTCGTATCTGTCTAGTTCTTCTTTTCAATCCCGAATACTGCTCGAGACCTCCTGTTTACGCCATCCATCGAATATCAATCAGCGTTTTACAAGCAAGGCCAGACAATTAGAAGTAACAGGATTTTTGAAACCAAAATCCCCGTTTCACCTAGCTGCGTTCAATGTCCGCACACTCGATCAGATTGATCAACAAACTGCCTTGGCTAGAACCCTCGAAACTTTCAATCTAAATGTATGCTGGGTCTCCAAAACACGTATACAAGACTCGACTTCAATTATCTCCCTGCGTTCTCCTGATCCAACCTCAATCTCACGCTTCGCCCTTCGTGTGTCATATAATTCGGCATCCGAAGCTCGCAGTGTCGCCGGTGTTGGGATTGCGCTGAGTGTCAAGGTCGAGCGTTCACTTCTCTAGTGGATCCCGGTTAGCAGCCGACTTTATGCTGTACGTCTGGATGGTTCAGTACGGATCAACAGCTACAGAATGAATTATCCATGTTTGTTCGTCGTATTCGCCTATGCACCAACTGATTGCAGTATGCCAGAAGTGAAGGATGAATTCTACAAGGACCTCTCTCTACTGCTCCAAAGTGCTCGGTCAACGGACATCGTATTAATCGCTGGAGACTTCAATGCTCAAGTGGGATGCTTGGACGAATCAGAAAGGTTACTTGGTGGTTCACATGAAATCCCAGCCAACCGGACTGACCACGGAGAACGCCTACTTAAACGTTGCGCTGACCACGGACTGTTTCTGTGAAGCACTAACTTTTCGCACAAAAACGGCACCGTCATCACCATTATCACCAATTTCAGCAACATAATCATATATCGCATTTCAGATCAGTATACAGTGAATTTATTGGATTCTATTCCCAACAATTTAACCAGCTTAATCATTTCAAACCGTGTTATATGTTTAGGGTTGCGCAAGATCTAGATTCTCCCGGAATAAAAATACAAGGGAGGAAGGGTTAGGTGTCCATTGGCTCTTTCTCTTTTGAAAGCTACGTCTGAATTCTCGAGTTGACTTGCATTTTCGGGCTTGCGTCTGTTTCTTGTTTGTCCGTCGCCTTGGCGTAGGGGATGTTTTCGAGGTTGGCATGTTTTGTTATGCTCCGTCTGACTACGATAAGCTCGGTAGACTAAAGGTCTTGCAATACGGTCTATTTAGCTCCCACCACCTCGCATTGGATTAAACAATAATAAATGCTTTACCTAAAATACCTTTGAATGGTTAGTTGATGAATTATCTGAAAATAACTTGTTTCGCCTATCGCATTTCATTTTCAATATTTCAATGAAATTTTTCCATATACCCAAATCCATTGAAGAATCATGGCTGATTTGAGCACTGAACAGTTACTTAAAGTCCACTGCCCGATTGCCAGAGGTAAATGAAACAACGCGATCTATCTCTCTCGTACTAAAAAGAATACCGGAAAGTTTGGCGTCGGCATCACACTTATTTGAACTGGCGCTCCCTGAAACGCCACAGTTTTACTCAGTTAAACACAAACCGCACCAAAGTTACATAATTTTAAAAGAACGCCGCTCAGAGAGAGAGACAGTATACAACTGATCTGCTCAACGAGGAAGAGAAATGGATGCCTTAAACATTCACGGAACAGCTAGCCACAAATTCAACAAAGAAGAGACAATCTAAATTGTTGAATGGTGCTTCCTAAGGAATGACTACTTCAGTGCACATTGGATGTAGGATTCATATTCAACAGTCAGATGTACGGGTAGAGTGATATATTATTGGGAAAGTTACATAAAACCAGTCTCTGGTCCATCATTGAGGACTTAAAACTGTACCACAGATACACTGAGGATATAATCCTAGTTTCTAATGGAAATGAAAACGTTAACGTAGACGCAATACTAGCATCATTATTAAGGGTTCGTCGATCCCTCAGCTTTCTTCGAAAAGGAAAAAAATCCACCGCATTCTGTTCTTAGATCTCCTTATCCACGGAAACCCAGATGAATCTATCTGTCGGAATGTCTGCAGGAAACCAACTTGGACAGAAAAATGCTTTAATTTCAATAGTTTCGCATCAATAAAACAAAAAACCGAACGAGTACAGAGAATCTGCACTCCGGATATCTAATCCACAAAATGAAGCAAATGAGGAATATTTTGTGACAGAGTGGCTATCGGGATCGTCTCCTTGACAACCACCTAACAGAAACTTTGAAAAAATCATGATTTTGCGGTAAGTGGAAAACTCCCTTGCTTGCAATTACCGCAAAAGTGTGAAAATATGGCGGACAGGGTGACACGAACGGTAAATTTAAAGATAAGGAAAATATTCACTAAGGCAGCACTACGTGTTGCCTGCAACTTGTTTCCATTTCAAAGCTAGATTATCCCCTCAGGCCACTCCCAAGTGGAGTGAGCAAAAAAGCCGTACAACAAAACAAATATCAAAGAGAACAAAGGAACACCACTCTCGTTGATTGGCACACGGAGAAACGAGGACAGCGAAAATTGTGATATGCTACTACC